AATTAACAACAACAATAACAACAAACACTTAAAAAAAAATATATATATATATATAAAAAAACAAACAATTAACAACAACAACAGTAACAACAACAATTAATCAGCACGTGGGCCCCACCTTGTAGTGGCCGTGGTGCCTCATCTCGAGTGCTGACTGGACCTGCCACATAGGATTACGGTACAACGCGCGCATGGACTCGGAGGGGAATGACATGGCAAGGAGTCGGCCGGTTATGTAGGTCATGTCGAGGTCATAGCCGGCGACGAGCATTCGCCTCCTCTGTTTCGAGACGAGGCTTCGTATGGCACTCGACAAAGCTTAGGCTCAAATCTCGAGGAAGTTCAGGTCCATTGTTGGACAGCTTCAATCCCATGTATCTTTTACACAGAGCAAGAGCTTAGGAATAATTATGGTTAATTGTAAATTGTAATGATACAGTAAAAAAATTGGAATTTATGCGCGTGTGTGTGTGTATAATTGATGTTAATCAATTATTGTTTAGATGAAAAAGGATTTGGAAGTAAGTTGTTGCGTAATCCTAATGCCGGTGTGACTTGAATTTCTGTTATGTAAGTATAGCTATAATTTAATTTTTTAATTTGTAGGGATGATGGAGTATTGTTTAGGGAGAGTTATAATCGATCTAGGAATGTTGAATGGGGAAAGTTTTTATGGTGGGTTTGATAAAATTTATAATCTACAATTTTTCCGTAGTTAATTTATGTTTGCTTGGTTAATTTATGGTGTTTATAATAATGTGTTAATTTATGGTACTACGTGTTAAATTGTGGTGCTTTGGAGTAGTCCATATAAATTTGGAGTTTTATCATGACTGTTAAGACTTTTAAAATTGTAAAACATTGATACTTTTAAAATTGTAAAACATTGATCAACTTAAATTATGAATATATTTTAAAACTTAATAGCTTTTTATTTATTATCGATTTTTCATATATATGATATATCAAATTATTAATTTGATTTGATATCCACTAGTACGTACCTCTTGCGACGGAACAAAGATATTAAATGAGTTATTTTCATAGATTATGTCCGTTTAAGTCTAAAAAGCCATAGGATTATCATCTATTATCCAACTCATTTAATCAACATTAAGTCTAAAAAAAATAGAGTTATAACCTATTTTCCAAATCAGCGTTGTTCTTTTAGCCAAAACATTAAATATGAGCATGTTAGGGTTAGTTTGTAAAATATTTAATATATTATCACTAACACATTTATACAAATATAAATTTAATTTTTAGTATATATATAAATTTATTCCTTTATACAAGAGAAAATAACAGTTTTACTTATTCTTGGTCACCATATAATACTTAATTATTATTTTATTATAAAATTTTTTGTCATATAATGTCATTATTATTTATAAAAGTTATAGAAGTTGTACGTCTTCTTTTTATTTTTATTCACGTTAGTATTATTTATTTATGTAATCAATTTAAAATATGTAAATAAATTTAAAATTAAATAGTGTATAAATATTTTACAAAATCTACACGCATGGTTTTTTTAAAATTTAATTTTGTATACTAATTAAACAACTTTTATTTAGCCAATGCTAAAAACTCAATCTCTTCTAATCTAGATTTTTTTTTAATTTACATTATAAGGATTTATAGTTTATTTAGCATACTCTACAATGAAAATATATTTTAAAAGAATTTTATTATAAAAAGAAATCAAAATAACAAAAAATGATAAAAAAAATAATTATGGTTTCCAATAATATACAAATAAATTCTAAAGAGCAATTAATATTTTAGTTTTAATTTTTGACCATTAGTAAAACTATTTAGTGTATCTGATCATTCTCTCTTAAATGGTAAATTATATTAATTGAAAAAATAATTTATTTTTTATATATAACGAAATAAAGCTTAAGAAAAATTATATTGACAAAGATTAATTCACCAACTTGATTTCACCTTATTAATTGGAAGAAAAAAAATTCTACCTAACATGTTACGATTTTCTATAAATATTTTTGGATAAAAAGTGAATATTTGTGAAAAAAAATTAATATTATGGTTAGAACTTAAAATATGTTGTAATATTTATCTTGACCAAAATATTATCAACATGAATCACAAAAAATCCATTATAATGAATATCAATGAAAATACTGCAGCTATTAATAAAATTATATAAGAAAACAATATTTTTGATCATATCTAATTTGATCTTATTAGAAAACGTGTATATGGAAGCAATTAATGCATATATTTAAAATGTTTTTAAAAAAATGTATGCATTAAATGCTCCCAAAATTTTTTACTGTTGTTTTTACTAAATGGTTATTCTTATGATATAGCCGGCCCCAATTTTTTTCTCTCGCCCTTCAAACCCTCGCCGCATCTCCTCCGATTTTGGTCCTTCGTGCGCCTTCCCCGGCGAATAGCCGGCCCTTCTGCCGGCGGTAGACCTTCAGCTCCATCACCCATCCTCAATTTCTCGCTCGTCAGCTCTTCTGCGCCGATGGATTCTCCCAAGCCGTCGGCAGTCCCTGCTGCTTCCGTTCCGCCGGTCGTGGTCCCGAGTTCTGGTTCTCCGTGTAGTGGCTATGGTGGCTGGCCGTCGGTTGGCTTCTTCACTGCCCGGTCTCTGGTGGGAGCTCGTCCGCCGCGCAACAGGTTAGTGGTGGAGTGGCTCAAGGAGGTGAGCTTTTGGGGTGGGGTGGGTTGGTTGGTTCGTCCCTCGGTGTCCCCTTTGCTGGTATGGTGGAGGTGGATGTTCGACGGGCCCGGATTCTGGCCATTGGTGTTTGGCCGGGTCGAGGGGAGCGGGTCTGTGTGGTGGGGCTGATCGACCCTTGTTTGGGCTGTAGGTAGGCTTCATCCGTGGAATGGTTCGAGGCTTGGACTCTTCCTTTGCTAGGCTTTAGGCAGTGGCGGGAGTGGTGTTCCGGCTTTTGTGTCAAGCTATCGGGTGATGGTTTTCGCTGGTGCTTTGTGCTGGGTTCGGTTATGTAGCTGGGGAAGGGCTTTGTGTGTTTAGGTTTATTGTTTTCGTGTATTGTTGTTTAGGTTTGTGTTTTTGGGTTTGGGCCGCTTGGTCTCTGTGCGCCCGAGTGTCAAATTTATTATCCTGGTGGGATCCGACACTCGGGTATTACTCTGTTGGAGTCTTTTCAGTTGTTATTGTTGTTTTGTTGGTTTAGTTGGTCATTGTTGGTTATTGTAGTTGCGAGTTTCTTTCTAGTGTTGCTAGCGGGATTCTAGGCGGTCTTCTGACCTGTCCTCCCATTTTATTCTCCCGTTGGGAGCTTTGTATCTTGTTTCGCACATTTGTGCGCTTTTGATTTATAATAGTTCCTCTGTCGTTTTGGAAAAAAAAAAAAAAAAGATATAGATAGATATTGCATATATAAAAATTTTATATCTATATTTATAAGGAAAATAAAATTATTTAATGTATCCTAATTGTGAAGTAATAAATTATTAATTATTAATTCAATTTATATATCAAGCCCAATATATAATATGAGTTAGAAAAAATAGTATAAAATGAGGTGAAGCAAATCTTACCTACAAGGAATGACATTTTAAATAGAAATGAAAAATTATTATTTTTTAAAAAAATCCTTTTTTTTTACTTTTTAATTATAAAATTTTCAATTAACACCCGTGTAATACACAGACATTGTAGAATTATTTATATAAACGAATAAATAATTTAAAATAAAAATATCTTTTAATGGAAACATATCTATTTGCACTCTCACTATAAAAATATTTATAGTTCACAACAAAAATTTATTAAGTGGAGAATCGTAATAACAAATAATAATTAAAAAAATTACGAGGAGTATATTATTTTAGATTTTAAGTGATATTTTAAAATTTTTTAAATTGATGACTCTTTAAGATTTGGGCATGTGTCCGTTCATCCGATTGTTCCATAAAATTTCTAATGCAATTTAGCGCAATTTAGCCCAATTGACACAGAAAACACACCTCTTGTATCCTTTTGTCAATACTACACACACCTTTAACTTCCAGATGACGTGGCACAACTTTTTATCCTACGTGGCATAGGACGAGCCCGATAGTCCAAATCAGTTCCTACATGACATTTCTCTTTAGGGTAAACTGCGCCAAACTCCCCTGTGTTATAGGAAATAGGCGCGTTACTACCCTGTGTTTTAAAAAATGCATAACACCCCCTTGTATTAGAGTAACCGATGCACACGCTCCCTTTTTTTATTTGTCCAGTTAACGGAGTTAAATTTTTGCTGAAAACCCCGTTATACCCTCCGAATTTTTTATATATATTTTTGATAAATTGAATTTATCACGATATTTTGAGAATATCGCGATAAATTGGCTTAAAAGATTTTGCTGGCTATGAGGTTCGAACCCAAGACCTCATGGGAGGAAAAGGAGCTTTGCTACCACCCCACCAATCCAACTTGTGTGTTTGATTTAAGAACGTTAAATATATATAGACATTACACATGTACAAATCAAATTAAATTTAAAAGATAATGTAAATTATATTAAAATACATTAATAAACTATAAGCTTATAATAAATTAAAATATAATAAACTATGAAAAATAAATTGAATAATTACAATAACTTATATGTTTTTATACAAAAATTATAATTAAAATAACAATATTTATTGTATTTAATTTAAATTATTTTCACCTACTTTTTGTTTTTATTATTTATTTTAAATTGTATTATTTCATATTATACTATTGAATTATTCATTTTATTTCATCTTAGTTATCAAATTTTATTTATTTTTTTTAACTTAATACAATGATATAAAATTAAAATATATTTTACTAAATAAAATTTTGAAATTAAAATTATTTATTTCTATTTAAAATCATTTACTAAAAATAATAATTTCTTTCTAATTTTTTATTCATATGGTATTGAAGAGTAAATTGTACTAAAAATTAATAGATAAATAATATTTTTATTTTACTGTTAATTTAATATTTTTATTTATTTTAATATACTATTTTATAATAAGTTAATTTATTTTACATTAACATTTTTATATTTTATTATTTTATATTATATTTTTTATGTTATTTTAACTAGTTTACTTTAATTTTATTCATTTTCTAATTTAATATTATTATTATTATACATTTACAATTTATATTATTAATTTTATTTTAATAAATAAAATTGTTAATTTATTTAATTTTAATTCCTGCTACTATAATTACTTTTATCTAACTTTATTATAATTTATTTTTCATTATTTTTATATTAATTTAATTTATTTCATGTTATTATTAAATTATTATTATTGTTATGATTACTTAATATATATTAAATGTACCTACTATATTAATTATTGTTTTTATTTTTAAATATAATTTTTTTTATTATTATATATTTCCAAATTTATATTAATTTTAATTTTATATTAGAAATATATAATTTATTTAATTTCAATTCATGCTACTATATTAAGTTCTATCATACTGTATTTTTTACATTATTTTTATTCTCAAACTCTTATTATTATTATTATTATTATTATTATTTAATTTGTTTTAAATTTACCTATTATATTTTAATTTTACTTTATTAATTCGTTTAGAGATGATATAATAAATGTAGTTGTGTACAATTCCTATGCAAGAATCTATATGGCCCATTGGTTTAGTGGGCAAGCTCACCTCCTTTACACCCAAGTTTGATTCCTCCTATTAGCAAAAAATTTTAGTTTGTTCAATAAAGCACAGAAGGGTATAAAGGTAATTTATTAATTAAAAAAAATGTAAAATTTTTGCAGGTATAGAAGGTGTTGTGCACGCGCCGTTAAGTTGGACAGAATGGGTGAATCGTGCAACAACTACTTAAATACAAGGGGGTGTCATGCATTTTTTAAAACACAAGGTGAAGCGCGCCTATTTCGTATAACACAGGGGGTTTGGCGCAATTTACCCTTTCTCTTTATAAAGTCGATTTTGTAGTCCTTCAATTAAAATTTCATCTACTAATAGTTAAGTTTGTAATAGTTTGGTAACTCCGTATTATCAACATTTTGTAGTCCTTGTGATCAGTAGATCACCGATTTGTAAAGACTTTGTTTTTTTGTTTAAGTTATAAATCTTCTATAGTTTGAAAAAAAAAAAAAAAACTTTGAAAATGTGTCAAATAACAATATGATATGTCAAACGATGCCCTGACTAGGCGGCCTCATTTTCTCCAAGTTTAAGGTTGTATGAGTTATGTGAGGAAAAGAAACCTGAAACTCCAAAATTAGCGTAAAATATCTGAAACTCATATTTTTATTTTTCTCTCACCTTATCTGGGCATGGCCTCTTTCATCTCCTCCTTTTGGCCCCCCTAATAAAAAAATTAAAAAAAAAAATAAAAAAATTATCTGCACAGTTTCTCTTTTTCTTGCAGAGGGATCTTAAATCCAGCATCATCTTTATTCTTGGAGCAATCTTTGTGATCCTAGGATTCACTTTGATTGTTCCAAGTCATTTTTTAAGAGAAGGGAAAAAAAAAGGTAACTTTCTTACCTAGGACAATTTTTTTTTTTGAAAAAAAAGAGGTAAGTTTATTTGTCTGTTTGTGTGCCCTTTTGGATATTCTACTCCATTTCTCTGTTTTTCATACATTTTTAGCTCTGTAAATTCACATATAAATGTTTTTTTTTTCTTTCTTTCTTTTATTGGTATTTGTGGCTCTCTATAACAGAACATTGTATTTAACTTCAGACGAAATCGGGCGATAAAATTATAACGTCTAGTCTTTTAATAATAATAATCCCATAATGTTTTTGTAAGCTAGAGCGCATGCTTTTCCGTGTCGTGTCCATATGGGTTTGAAGCTGTCCAAGAAAGGGCCTAATAATAAACCTCCCGAAGATTTGAGCCTAAGCTTCGTCCGAAGCCACCTCATCAAATGCCTATGGAGAAACTACATACGAAACCTCGTCTCGAAACAGAGGAGACGAATGCTCGTCGCTGGCTATGACCTCGACATGACCTACATAACCGGCCGCCTCCTCGCCATGTCATTCCCCTCCGAGTCCATGCGCGCGTTGTACCGTAATCCTATGTGGCAGGTCAAGTCCGTGCTCGAGATGAGACATCACGGTCATTACAAGGTGGGCCCCACATTTTGCTACGAATTGTCGAGAATCTTGCCAGATGATTAATTAGGCTATGTTTGGTAACCAAAAAAGCTAGCTTATAGCTTATTTAGTTTCCCAATAAGCTTCTTGTATTAAGTTTATCTTATAAGTTTCTTTGGGTAGATTTTCAAATAAGTTCGTTGAAATTTTTATTTCAACTAGTTTATATATCAGCTAATTTCAACAAACACTTTTACCATATAAGCTAGTTTTCGGCCATAAGTCATAAGCTATAAATTCAAACATCACTTATAAACTATAAAAGCAATCTTATCAGCTACCAAACATAGCCTAAGTCTTAGCTAGCTCTTTGTTGTTGTTCAATTAAATCTTTTGATGATGATGTATTGTTGTTGTTGTGTTTAGGTGTATAACTTGTGTATAGAACAAAGCTACGACCCGTCTCATTTTAACGGGCGGGTCGAGAGATACCCGTTTGACGACAACCATGTCCCGCAATTATCGATGATCAAGGAGTTTTGTGAGGATGTGCACGCGTGGCTCTCGCCTGACCCGAAGAATATTGCGGTCGTGCACTGCATGGTACTTGAAAATTATTCTCAATCGAGTGCTCTATTGTAAATGATGAAATTAAGAAGGAAATATATTCCAATGAAATTCCAAATTCCAATGTTATTATTCCCGTTGAAATTTTTCAACAGATTTCAATAAAATATTATGTCGAATTATGTCGAATGAATTTTCCATTGAATTTTGACGATTCATCGGTAGATTTTTCAAATGCAGAAATTCGCATATTCAACAATAAAAAATCGTTGTAGAAATGCTCGTTGGAATCATTAAATTGTAACTACAATTCCAATGAGAAAACTCATTCCAATAGAATATTTTTATTGAAAATTTCACTGGAATACCATTACAATATATTACCGTTGGACTTTTTTCGTTCGAATATGACAATTTTTTTGTAGTATCTGTTTTCGGGTTCTTTTGAGTTCCTAAGTTTTACTGAACTCAACTCATGAGCTGCTTCATTTTATTTTCATTGAGCTTTTTCTATTTTCAAATTGTAGTATTTTTTTTCCCTTCATTTTGTGCAAACACTTTTAAGTTGAGTTGAGTTGAATTTTGCAGGCAGGAAAAGGTCGAACTGGCTTGATGGTATCATGTTACCTCGTTTACACGGGCATGTCGGCCGAGAGGGCTTTGCACGTGTATGCAGAAAGGCGAACGACTAATAACGAAGGAGTAAGTTTGATTTATGTCCATAACTAAAACTTTATATATACCATTCGATTTATTCAATTGTTCTTGATTTTAGAAATAGAAAAAAAATAAAAATGAAATCATCAGTGGTTTTACTTTACACGATTGTTGTGCAGGTCTCGATAGCTAGCCAGCGTCGTTACGTTGAATATTGGGAGAAAATAGTTTCTCTAACAAAAGGGGTTAATACAATCCCTCCATTCATCAAATTGCCTAAACCGTGCAGTCGAGAGCTTCAACACATTCGGTTATATGACACGGTCAACATTAATCAGGTCTTTGTTGTGGTCTCTGAGCTGCAAAAGGTATATAAATGAGTTATAATTTAATAAATCATACATATAAAATCTCCCACATTTGAGGGGGGAAAAAAAGTTTATAATGTGTTGGACTAAAATTTCATTTGTNATTGTGTTGGACTAAAATTTCATTTATGTCATTGTTTTTTTTGTTTTCTTTCCAAAATCGGTTATTATGCAGGTTCCCGGGCAGAGGTACGCGCCACCAGCCGAGGTTTCAAAGAGTTGTTGCAGACGAATTGGAAAAGATCACGAAAGATTATCCAATAAGCCTCGGTATTACTACTCATTTGTCGAGAAGGAAGAAGGCAAAGAAGAAGCCGTGGAACCTCGTTTAGTCGTCCAAATGGACACCGAAAGTTCCATAATCTACCAAAAGACTTGTCTCGGTTTCCATTATGAGAAACCCGTGCAAGTAAGATACTAATAGCATCATGCGAAAACGTGCATATCGGTTTTGGATT